CTCTCTCTCTCTCTCTCTCTCTCTCTCTCTCTCTCTCTCTCTCTCTCTCTCTCTCTCTTTCTCTCTCTTCCCGCGTCCCGCTGTAGCTCGAGACCAAGGAGGACGAAGCTAATAATATTGAACTCGAAGGAGGAACCTAGTAGCAAGTCAGCTGCCCGAATGCGAGTAGCCGGGAGCGAAGCAAGTAGCTGGTAGTCGAGCACAAGCCAAGTAACAAGTAGTCGAGCGCTAAGCGAGTAGCGAGGCGCATAGCAAGTAGCAAGTGGTCGGGCGTGAAGCCGGTGGAAGAGTATGAAGCAACTCTCTCTCTCTCTCTCTCTCTCTCTCTCTCTCTCTCTCTCTCTCCCCCCCCCCCTCCTTCCACTCTGGTCCCCGTCTTTCTTTCCCTCTATCTTTCGCTCCCTCTCCTGTCGTCCTTTCCCTCCCTCTCTCTTCCTCCTTCGCTTCTCCTCATGCCCTCGCTTTTCCCTCTCTTGCTCTCTCACTCTCTCTCTCTCGTCCTCTCTCGTCTTCTCTCTCTCTCTCACTATTTCTTTCGGGCGAGCGTGGAGGCTCGCCGATGTTTGAGCTTTTGAATGCCGAGAGAAAGAAAGTCGTGACGACGCGACTCGGGATCTTACTGGCAGCAGACGAGTCGAACCCCCAATTTTTGAATGACTCTGTCCCACTCAACTCGGCGGTTGCTCCTTCGGCCTCTCTCTCCCTCGCTCAACTCGCGACTTCGCGTTAGCATTCGTGGGATCGGGCACTATCTTCCTCCAGTCGTCCCTCCGTTACACCTCCATCTCAGAGAGCCTCTGCGCAAACGATCGCCCTCGGTTCGTGCTCCCTCGTGTGCTAGCCTTACGAGCGCTTTCGAACGCTTGCGTACGCACTGCGTACCCCCCCCCCTCAAGTCATCACTCTTCCTCTCGCTCCTCTCTCCCTCTCTCTCTCTCTCTCTCTCTGTCTCCCCGACCTCTCGAGCGCTAGTCGGAACTTGGCATTGAGTGCCTCGGGCGCATGCACAGACTCCGTACTCCCGAGCGCTGTCGTCGTCGTTCGCAATCTCGTGAAGCTCCCCGTTTTCCTCACTCTCTCCTCCTTTTATCCCTTCTCCTCCTCCCCTTTCCCACGATTTCGGTACGAGAGTTCAAGTTCTCCTTTCCCAAGGCGCCAAAACTCAAAATTTTTGAACCCACTCCCTATTCCCCCTCTTATTTCCGTCCTTGCCTCGCTCCGTCTTTCGTTTCTTCACTCCTCCCTGTGTGCCTCTCTCCAATAGGAATCCTCCCTCCTCTTATTTGTCGGATCTATCTTCGCCCAACCTTTTTCCAGGCACCTTGCGCGTTCTCCATGTCCCCACAGGATGTTCCCCCCCTCGGATGACCCACCCCCTCGCTCGCGGTTCTACTTCCCAGGCGGTTGGCAAGAAGCACAGAACGCGCGCTATGAATTGAGACAGTTACCAAGAAGAACCGCGGCGCACGCTCTCTTACCCCCTCACAGTTACCAAGATTCTTGGGGGCACGCTCGCTTTTCTTCTCTGCCTCAGAACCGTCGTGGCTTTCCTTTCCCGCTCCCTCCGCTGTCGATCTTCCAATTTCT